GTTTGTTTTCTGGGCACAGAGAGAGAATTCTAGACTACAGCCTCTAAAGGAGTTGCGTACCACCAATAACACGCTGCATTTGACAATCTCTATTCACATACATAGTAAAGAATACGATTTACTGGCAGCCTCTACGTGTGGATATGGTATTAAAAGTCAGAAGTAAAAACATTTCAGGATAGGAGTCACGTCTTTATACATGTTTGCACAAAACACAGAGCTACACAGAATGAGGATTTAAATATAAAAGTGGATTCCACTACATTTTAATTAATTACTCCTGTACCACAAAAAAAAAAAAAATCATCTCCAAAACAAATTTTCTATAAACTTGTCCTAATCTGCAACCTGGACACCCACCCAAATAAAATGGGCTTATTTCACATGTGGAGGGGAAAAATCAGCAAAAGACTGCAAATATAAATCTTATGGAAGCTAACTTTTTATGCTTAGCTTCCTTAAGATTTATAGCTGCAGTCAGTGGTCACGTGGTGAAAACTATGCAACCTTACCTGTCGTAATACAAGTCTGAAGCTCCCTTAAGTCACAGCTCAACTAGTAAAGGTCAACCTTTTTGGCAGGCATGCAACAAATTAGCCCTCTCCCTAAGTGCCACTCCAGTGCCTCCCCTCCATCTGATCTGTTGCTATACTCCCAGCTCTGTGTTCCCTGCCTGATACCATGCCCTATCTGCTGCTGTGCTACATCCCTCCCCTATCTACCACGCAGAGGCTGCCCAAGGCACTTGTGGCCCCCCTGCTGCAGATCAGCCACCCCTGAGCTAAACTGGAGTGTAGGGGGGAACAGAAGTCAGCCTTCTGGACAGCTAATATCATTCCTTCATGTGGTCATAAACCTGACATATATAATGAAAGCGAGTGTTTTACCAGAAGTTTTGATGAACTGTTACTGTTACACAATACCAGGTATTTAACTTTGATTAAGCTGAAACGATCCTGCTATTCATGAAGCAATTCAGTAAACACAAAAGTCTTTGCAAGCCTGAACTGGTTAAATCAAGAAACAACAAGTGGCATAAAATTCCCAATGAACACATGCCTCTTTAGGCTCGTATATGACAAAATTCAGCTTTTATAAAAGGGTGTAGGTTGTAGCCGTGTTGGTCTAAGGACAAAGGCAGACAAGGTTCTTTGGGTGAATCCGATATCTTTTATTAGACCAACTTGAAAGTTGGCCTAATAAAAGTTAAAGTTGGTCTAATAAAAGATATCAGATTCACCCAAAGAATCTTGTCTGCTTTTATAAAAGGAAACGTAACCAAGAAAACCTCAATTAAGTGTCAAGCAAGAAAACATCTTTTTTTCCCCTTCTGTGCTAAAACAGATCACTGAATTGATGCCCCAAAATATCACTCCTTATAACCCAAGATAGGCAACATTTCAGTCTAAGTCTTCCTTGAAAGATGGATTTTTTTTTTTTTTATAGGATTAAGGATTTCACGACAAAGGTACAGCCAAGTCGCAACTAGAAGAAAAAATACTTTACCTACTTCAAAGCATACAAAAAACTAGAACTCCTGGTTCCAAAATGATACCTTTTATCAGACCAACCAGGAAATCACAAGAAAACTGTCTTTTTCTGCAAGCTTTTGGGACCAAAGTCCCTTTGCCAGGCTCTGGGAAAAGTACAGATGGTGCAAGATGGTAAAAAGTCCCTCTAGGTAGAAAATAAACTTCCTTTTTGCACAGAGGGAGCTGAAGATGGGAGGCTGTCCCTCTGGGTCCATGAGAGCATCTTATCTACTTCAACTAACTTGGTGATTTGAACGACCGAGGGATTTCTTAAGCAACAGCAACCTTGAATCAGGGAGTGTCTGAACCCGAACGGTGGGTTTAGCCCGCTCGGCTGTATTTGTACAAGCCAGCGCCGTTCAACCTTTTTTGTACCAGGACCCATTTGTAAATAGTGATGACCAGTCCCAACCCAGCGCCCCTCGCTCCCCAGCGCTGCTCTGATCTATTCATCGTGTGATGCAATGACATTCATCACTTTATGTCAGGAAGGCAATGCATGCCACTAGTGCCTTTTAAAAGCCCACCGGGACAACTGCATAAATCGGATTCACCATCTGACAGCGCTGCCGCGCTCCCCTCCTCACCCCACCCCTTTCACACGAGTCCCTCGCTCGGGCGCTCTACGGTTGTGTCGTTTTTGGGGCTTGTGACTCTTAACATTATAGAATAACATTTGATCTGTGTTTTATTTGAAGGAGCGCCCTCGCGCTGATCTCCCCAGTGACTCGCACCAGTCTCCTCTCCCGGGGATTTCTCTCCCATTCCTGGAGGCTCCTGCCCCCCCCCCCCCCCCCCCCCCCTGCCCCGGGTCCCAGCCGCAGGGTGCGGGCGTTTCCCTCCTTTCAAGGAGACCCTTTTTCAAGCGCGCGGATGCATTGGTCAAGTTGCCCCGCGACCTTCACAGACTCGTGCGGCCTGCTTCAGGGCTGAGAAATGCGGGTCTCGGCTACGGCCCCCACAGCAGGGCACGGGCGGGGAAGCAGAGAGGAGGCCGGGGGAGGCCCCCTCCACCCCAAAGCCCTCAGCGATGCCCCCCATCCTGCTGCCGGAGCCCGCCCCGGGCCCGGCTCGGTCCCGCCCCGCACTCACTATTGCCCGCGTAGGCGCAGGGCGGGCCGAGCAGCAGCAGCAGCAACAAGGCCCAGGCCGGCGGCAGCGCGTCCCTCACGGCTCTCCCCTCACAGGCAGCGGCCATCTTGGCGGGCTCGGCACACTGACGTGGCTGCGGCCCCGCCTCCCGCCCCGTTGCTGGGCGACGACGCTCCCCGACGGCATGACGCATTCCCGCCTGCTGGAGAAGGGGGGCGGGAGAGCGCGTGCGCAGAGGGAGGGAGGGAGGGGATTGGTGGCCGCTGCTGACCGGTTGGGACATGCGCGGAGAGGACCAGAGACTATGGGGAGTGCGCATGCGCGCTCGCGCACGTGGGTGTCTGCCGCCAGGGCTGGAGGCGCCATTTTGCCCCAGGCCTATCACACCCGGTGACTAACGGCGTCAATGAATCATGAACTGCAGGGGCTCGTGGGAAAAGGACCTTGTATGGGACCCACTGCCTGGTGGGGATAGAGCAGTGCCCGTGCCTCGCTCCGCTCTCCCCACTTCCCTTCTGAAAACTTTGCAGCTTATCAGGAAGCCAGGGCCATTGCTCAGGGAAGCCAGCTACAGGCTGGCAGCCAGCAGCTCCATCCCCCTCTCCCTTGGAGCCAACGGTGACCTTGTTTGTTCCAACAGATCGTCACAACCCAGAATGCTTCCTGCAAAGCGTTCTGGGTGACGGCACGTCCGTCTGCACCCCAGATTTCCTCTTGCTCTGTCCCCGCCACTCGGAGACGCACCGGCAGCAGGGACAGACGTACCGGAGCTAGTTTCAGCTTAGCTGCTTGGTTGACAGCAACTGCGACGTTGCAAGACAGACAGGAGCACGGGATGGTCACCCTTGTACCAAGGTCTCCAGGCACGAGTCTCACCTGTGTTGACACGACTTGGTTCCTGTACAGCTACTCGCTTAACGTCGTAGTTACGTTCTTGAAAAGTGCCACTTTAAGCGAAACGATGTTAAGCAAATCCAATTATGTCACAGGTGTTACCTACTAGCAGGCGGTGGCCAAACGACGTTATAACCGCACATTGCGCAACTTTAAACGAATATGTTCTCTAATAGAGCAGCGACGTAATAATGAAACAACGTTAACCGGGATGACGTTAAGTGAAGAGTACCTGTATTAAAGCTCAACCGTGGGTATGCGTGGCTCATGCTTCCCAAACTGGCAAATTGCTCGTGCCTCCCAAAATGCGTGGCTCGTGCTTCCCTGTGCCTCGCGTTCCATCGTATGGCTCGTATCACCATACGGAAGAAACGATATTATGTCCTTCACCATCTACTGTGAATAATTTGTTACTTTGGAACCACGAGAGAGTCACAACTTGGGAGAATACTGCCGTTTCCTTTCCAACTGAGAAGGATCCCAGAAAACTAGGGTGGCATCTGAGGGTACCGACGATGACAAATGATTTAGTTTTGAAGGCATGCCTCGTCCACTCCCTCAAGCCTGTTACACTCTTTTTTGAAATTCTGCCTCAGTAGTTGGTACAGGATGATTGATGCAAGGCTTGTTTACATAGGAAAAAATTATACTTATTTGTGTCAATGTTAGGAGGATTCTGTCGTTTCTCTGGAAAAAGTTACGCATGCTGCTATGTTTTAATGGTTACGTTTTTCCTTTCCTTATCTCTTTTAGTTGAAAATGCAGAGGTGTCACAGCACCTTACAGAACAGATAGTCCTCTGGAGACGAGCACACGTGCTATTTGTACAAGTTTTTTCACAAAGGTTCAGGAAGACACCCCCTTAGCATGCAAGGACCACAAATAAAGGAAGCCTAAGTGTATTTGGTGAAACTACAGTTTATCAGATTGTAGTTGGGTTTTTGGTAGTAGCCGTGTTGGTCTAAGGACATAGGCAGGAAAGGGTTTTTTTGAGTAGATGTGCTATCTCTTATTAGACCAGCTGAGTAGTTGGAAAAAAAATTGCCAAGACCTTTTTTACAACTTCTCAGTTGGTCTAATAAAAGATATCACATCTACTCAAAGAACCTTGTCAGATTGTAGTTGACACTCATTCTCACAAATATTACAGGTTTTGATTGTTGTCAATCAACAGTATAAGCTGTATCTTGATATTCGAGTTTGAGAGTCATACGATTGTGCTATATTTGCAAAGAGCCACAAGAAAAAAATCAAGTGAATTCTTAAAAATTCCTGTCTTAAGTAAAAGACTGAATTACAAGAATCTGTTGAATGAGTTGTTCTAGTTGACAAATCTCCCACACAATTTATTTGTCATTTTAAAGAGAAATAAGTTAGGGTAAAAAATAATTAACAGCAGTAGAAGAAGGCGATGCCTGTTTGTCTTTATACAAACCAAGGGATTATTATGAAATTATTTCCACAATTAACATAAAGACCATGTAAAAGGTGATGTTTCAATATTTTATTGAAGTGGGTTTGGTTTTTTCATTTTAAGTAGTGTCAAGTACAGCACTTTGGGGTCTAGTTCCACACAAAATGGAAGACTCTAAAAATGTACCCATTAAATTGCTAAAAAAAGTGGTAATAAAACAAAAGTCCATTTCAAATTTAAAGTGATGCCACTATGTGATTACAGTTACAAAGACTCTTCCCTGCTTATGGCTCTGTCTTACAAGCTTTTCCATATTTAGTGCAAGGGAAAGGAATCACAACACAGGACAAGTTTTATTGGCTGAGTCGCATCAAACCTTCTCCACGCTGAAATTATACAAGGTGGACATTCTCAAGCACTCTGAAGACAACTGTAAGTGTAAGATAACTAAATAAAACTGAAACCATATACAAATTATTGATCTAAAGATATCCCTTTTTCAGACAAGTTTGCACACTCTGTCCTGGATTGAAACTGAACATTTAGTCTCAGAAAACTGCTTCCTGAATTAAGATTTCACTATCATGATCTGCAATTTTCAAAGTCCTAGTTTCTACATCACACTAGTCTGCCTTTAGTTATCTAGACATTACTTTAAGGGTAAATCAGTACCTTTACATCCCTTGTAATGTGTATGTGGCAGCTGTGATGGGCAACAGCGTTCCAAAAAAGCCTGGAATCAGGATCTTTAAAAAAATGTTTTTTCTCCACTTCTTAAAGAACAACACTTTAAAGCTTAGCTGTCTTTAACCAGGTTTAGCATGACTGATACATAGCAATACTTGCATCCCAGACATAAAACATTGAAAGGTACACTAAATTCTGAAGGTAGCTATGCTGTAAGGTGTTTTCAAATTAGTGATTGTGCAATTCTTTTTTATGCTTCAAATTCCAATCCTAGACCAAGTTTGTGACCACCTGCATTAACATTCTTCCCATCCAACAAAGCAGACAACGTGAGCTTGATTCCTAGGGAGAGAAGAGACCGAAACAGAGAGGGAAAGTAAATATGAAAACAAGTAGCAGCACTAAATTCTCCTATCGTTACGTATGATGACTGGTCATGTACTCTACTGATTTCAGTGGGCCTACTTTTGGAGTAAGGTATAAAGTGAATGAGAATGGCAAAAAAAATCAAGACTTAGAGCCTATGGATGAAAAAGCACTAAACGTAAAACTATAAGAATTCATGTCCATCAGTTTAAACTGACAGTAACTTCACTGTACTATACTAAATCCATGATCAGCATTATTACATTCTTGTTCCTGGGCCAGGGGAGTTTAGGTATGTCATGCTTTGAATCAAAAGAGACTTACAACAAAAGAACTCCCGACTACTACAAACGCACTTGCTAATTGGGTTTTTATACATACAACTGCTCATTTGACATACAGTTTATCTCTGATAATTATATTCCTGACCATATGCCTAAAGCGTTTGGAAAAATAAGTCCCTAAGATAGTCAGTCCTCATGGTGACAAGTAGAACAACATTTATTTCTTCTGCATATGCTTACCTGGCTTCAAAGTCTGAGTGTATCCTAAACCAATAAGACTGGAGTTGTTCACTTTAGCCTACAGAAGAAGAAAAAAAGTACACCGCTCAGTATCCTGGTATGTTTCTTCCAAAGTCTTTGATACTTAAAATATGAACAGTCTTTTACCTTTTCATGTTGATAACCTATTACAGTATATGGACCAAATTCTGCCACTACTTGTATCAGTACAATCCTACTGACTATTTCCTATATAGACCAATGTTTTATCAACCAACTTTGAAAGTACTGTAATGAAACTAAAATACAAGAGAATCCTCTCTTCTACTTCATGTAATTGTTCTCCTATATGGCGGCTCAATGACATGACAACACTGTATTGCTTTTAACCAGACAGTCAGCAGTTTTCTCAGAATGTATTTTTGAGGCTGAGGAAGAGCAAAATTACAGAGAATGAATTCAATTCGCCCATGGTTTACATCAAGGTATTTGACCCAGTGACTCCAAAGCAAGTTATAATCAAGTTTGAAACTTTCTGTAATGTAGAGTGCAGATAAGTAATGCCTATAGTTAAATATCCATTAAAGAACTCGTTTTCAGTTGTTATCACTGCCCATGTATGGCACTCACAGAAAAAGATGCATCTGGATCAATCTGATATTTGGCTGCTATTCCAAAGCGAGTGTTGCTATTTCCAGCTGTCCAAGCAAGATTGACAGCAGTTTCCAATTTATCATTCACCTTCTGGTAAATGGAGCCTCCAAATTCTGTTCCATCATTCCTGTAACAAGCACATTAATTAAATGTTAAATTGCACAATGAAATGTTAAGGTTCTTCAATACAATCCACATCAATAAAGTTTTCACTTACAGCTGGTTTCTTAACTCTATAACAACCACGTAGAATTGAAACAACAGACTAGATTAATTATGAGAATTCATGCATTACAGTTTTGTTTCAATAAACCATCCCTAAAACTAATCAGAAACTGGTTCACAGTTATGAGAATTTCCACTTTCAGTCGTTGGAATCCACAGAGCAAACACGGTCCATATATGATACATTCTATGCATCTAAGCAATCCAAACCCTGTCCCCCTTGGGAGTCCATGCAGCATTTTCCAATGCAATCCAATGTTTATTATTGTAGAAAAGTTAGATGGAAAACAATACTGATCCCTACTGACAAGTTCAAGTAATAGCAGCAGCTTTTAATAGTCAAATATATTCTTCCGGACAAGAACAGAAGTACTTTCTGTAGGACTGAAGCTCAGTAACACCCATGTAATTGCTCGTCATGAAAAGCAAGGAATCGAAAAGTACCGAGAGCTGCTTAGACAAACAAATTATGTGCAAGGACCTCCTGAATTCGAGGCAGCTGCCCGCTGATTTTGCAGGTAGAACACGGGACTGGGCAGCCATTTGGCAGGTGGAGTGCGGACGGTCCTCCCCACACCTTTGATTGGCCGATGGACCCTGGTGGCCCCACCCTTCACTGTTGATTGGCTACGAGGGCTTCCTGTCATACTGCCCCACCCTCATGGCTGATTGGCTGTCCATCATGCAGCCCCACCCCTGCCATTGATTGGAGAGGGGCAGGGCCATGACGGGCAGCCCTTGCAGCCAATCAGTAACAAGGGGCGGGGCTAAAAGCCATCTTGCCAGCAGCCCTTTGAGCAGCAAGACTCACGTCTGGGAAGCCAGCATTTTACTAAGTTTTCTTTTATTTCATGGATTTGCTGGCATTGCTGAATTTCATAAAATGTGCAAAATCACACTTACAGGAGGTCCCTAATTATGTGCAACCTTCCCACACAGCTGTGTTTGTCCTGCAACACCAGGGGTTGAGCTGTGCTCACAGAAGCTAAAAAGTCATATTTAGAAGAGAAATTCTGCCTGGCCCTGCCTCAGACCAAGATATCACATTGCATGTTATTTAATATCATGACTCTTTATGCGAGAATGATTAGCTCTTAAATACTTGTCACCAGGTAAGTATCATCTCCATTTTACAGATGGAGAAACTGAGGCAGAATGTGATGAAGTGACCTGTCCCAGGTCACTCAGCAAACTGTGACAAAATGGAGGTTTCCCAAGTCCGCAGCTGGCTGATCTAGCCACTAGGCACCACTGCCTCTGAAAATGCTGAACCATCCAAGCATAATGTGTGCATGGGAATGATGGAATTCCAGTTATAAGGTCAATCTTTCCTGCATCTTCTGGAGGAAGTCAGGGCCTTAGTGCTAGTTAGATGCCAATTTTTTTTAACTGAAATGTTAAAATGAAATATAAAGACACCTGATAGAGTACCATCATATTACTGCTACAGAAGGCTGAGCCCATCAGAGCTGGTCGCATCAAAACTGGCCTAATACCTAAAGCTGAGAATATTAAACACACTGCTAATGCCAAATACATAATATAATCTTCTTGAGGAGTATCATCTAAGATAGAGGTTTGTGGGGGTCGAAGAGAGAGCAGAGGGGGCGGAGATCTTTTTATACTTTTTAGCAATCCTTTCTTACTGTTGCTTTCATTGGAAAAAAAATTATAACATTTTATAGCAACAGGCTGCACTTGAACTGGTAGAGGGTACTGCGGGGAAAACCTCTGAGAGCACTTAATGGAACAACCAATAGCTTTGGATGGCGTGGAAGGACCAGGCGTATTGTTTGGACAAGAGTTCTCTGTTCACACTTTTTCAGTTCGGCAGTCCTTCAAAGGTACCCTCTGGCCTGTGAAGATTCAATTGTTCTTTAAAGGCTTGCTAAATCAGATCTCTGCAAAACAGCAGGAAACAGAACAGAACTGCCTTTGAAGAGGCAGCTCAGAGAGCAGAAAAACTGTTCAAGTCCCAAATGGAAACAGTTTGCAATAGCCCTGCTAACACACCTACTATCCCATTACAATGGGGCGAAAAAAGAGAAACCACTTAGATTGAGAAAACTTCTTCTCCAAAAAGGCAGAAGTATTACTTTTCATTAGAAAATAACTGAAGATGTTCACAACACTTAGTCCTCCCTTTTCATGCTATTTTCATGCACAAATGACAAGTGTTTGTGTTAGGAATTCTGATTTTGACACGTCTCAAGATTAGGTCTACAATCTCATCAAACTTTCATTCTCTCCCTCTTGAGTCGCATTTGATCTTTTCTGTCCTTGCTTATCATTTGACAGCTCTTTTCTCTGGTGCCAAATCATCGCCCTCCATTCTATTTCAGGTTGCATTACTCCAGAGCTTGCTTTTATTTTCTCTTGCATGAAGAAAATACACATAGATCTTGCATGGTTTTTATTGCTATTACAATCAAAATCTATTAAAATTGAATGTTGGGCTCTCTCTCTTACTCGGGATCAATTTGATTCCCAGAAATGGGCAAGTGATAATGCTCTTGCTCCCTCAGCTGCAGCTGCCAGGCAAAACCTAGGCACATCAGAGATTCAAGGTTCTCCATTTCTGTTGGTTCCCAGTAAGGGAAGAGTTGGTGCTAAATTGATTATTCTCCCTCTTACTGACTTTGCCAACCTTTCCCTTCATTACGAATTTAAAGAGCCACATACATTTGGCTGTCTACTTACTGATACTTACACGTTAGTGTGAAGCTGGAATTCATCAGTCTTGTAGCCAACAGCAAAGTTGCTCTGAGTTACTCTGGACTTAGTCGTCTCAAAATTCATTTGGTAACCTGCCAACCAGCCTTCATAGCCAACCACCACAGCTCCACGTATTGAAGGGCCAGCAATATCAAAATCCATATCACAGCCCAGATTGATGTGTTCTCGTTTGTATCCTGTCTTAATTTTAGCACTTTTTTTCCTAAAGAAAAATCCCACAACATTATTTTATGATAAAGCAACCACTCATAAGTAGCAACTACTTTAATCCATTGTTAATTCAACCCAAAATAGCAGCACTGAAGACAAACTACACATACCTGGAGATCCACGGGATATGTCACCTCCTTACAACTGTCTCACATTTTAGATGTGCAAAAACCTAATTCATTTGCAGTTAATTATAGCAACATGGAGCAATAAAATTGAAAGTGAGCATTCAGAATGCTGAGGCTTGTGTGCACCATCCTGCACTTCAAATGACAATATATGAAAGGCAAAGCTTTTGAAACTTCTATTTGCAAACTCATTATGTATTGGGCCAGATTTGCAAATGGGGTAAATTAGCACAGTTTCACTCATCAGCTCAAGTCTTGTCCCTCTATATGGTAAATAGATGGAAACTCTGTAAACAAAATTCACTGTTAAGCATAGGGGAACAGACAACTTTACTATATTATTTTATTAACTAAAGCCAAAATTCAGACAGGCATGAGAATATCTGCCTAACTTTACATAGACTGCAGTCAAGATTGTTCACACATTTAAAACCAAATAGATACTTCAGCATCTTTCTGAATTGTAATTCAAGGCAGGAAGTAGTACCCTTTTCCTCCCTCCCTTCTCCCAGAAATTTGATTTCATCCTTTGGTCTTTACTATAATAAAATAAAAGTCTTTGTCTGTCTCTCTGTCTGTCTGTTTGTAACATGTCTGACCAACTGCGCATATGCTACTGAGCTTGCGGGCGATGACTGGCTGCGCGGGCCGGACTCTGCGGGCCCAAGTTTGCGCTGCTGCCAGGGAAGTTTGGCGGTGGGGAACACGGCTGGCCATCCGCAGCAGGGCTTCCCCCCCACCTCCCTGCCTGACGGCGAAGAGGGGGATAACAGTGGTGGAGCCCCATGCCGCCTGGCCCAGGTGCCCCCCAGGCAGCGAGGGGGAGGCAGTGGGCAGGGAGGGAGGGGAGTGGGAAGGGAGGCGGATGCAGGCCAGGTGGACCCAAAGTGACAGGGGGGAAAGTGGGGGAATGGTGTTGGACCCAAAGCGGCGGCAGGGGGCTGGACCCAAAGTGGCATGGGGGAGGGGAGGGGTGGAGTGGGGTCGGACCCAAAGTGAGCGGGGGGACAGCAGAGTTGGACCTGAAGCTGGGGTACAGCAGGACCGCATGAAGAGCAGCAGGGGGCAAGGGAAGGAGGGAGGTGCAGGGCCAGACACAGGGCTCCATCCCTGGCTGCATTCTTGACTGGCAATTTCCTAGTAACAATGATTATAACCTTATTCTACGGAGTTCCTACCTTCCATGGAGATTACTGTTTGAACAAGTTATATACATTTGGCAGTTCCTTTACAGTGATCTTCTGAGTTGATTCAAAGTACAAAAAGTATTTTTTCATCCCAGCTGATTTATACATTCTTTCTGCTCTGCTTTATCTAGTTTTTCTTTGACCATAACTTGACCTTCAGTAATTTTCCCTTAAAATTAGAAACTTCTGACAAACCAGGAAACAAAGTTTGCTTGGTCAAGTGACTGTTGGTTGCCTAACAAGTTTACACAACCCTTGTATTTGGCATAATAACTTTCCGTTCTTGCTATCTAATGAGAACAGACATTCTCTGTCATACATCCAATCTTTGTGTCTATGTCTATTCTCTATGACTGAAATTATCACTGCAATCATCACCCAACATCCTAGTCTCCATCTTCCTCAGCTTCTATTAGCAGCAGTGATTTTCACATAGCAATAGTGGAGCACCTCCTGTTGATTAACCTCTGCTAACAGCCCTTGTTAGCTGACTCCTAATTCTTTTTCCTTGATTGTGCAGATTAAAAAACTCCTTGCCTTAACATTAAAGTGACCAACCGTAAGGGAGGAATATCTGAGACATTTCTGTATGCTCCTCAGACCTCTGGAACTGGAAGTAAGGTACATTAATTCTGGTTCTGGTTAACATAGCTGCTGTATGCTACACTGCAGATGAGCTAATTACTCTGAATCAGAAGCCATATAGCTCTTGCATCAGTAGAACACATGCAGTGCATATCTAGGACCAAATTCCTGGACCAGTCCCATTTAGAATTGTTTCAGGAAATCCAGGTTGGTTGGTCACTTTACTGAACATCCTCCAGTTTTACAGTAATTCATTTTATTATCCAGTTATACTGGGCTATTATAAATATTTCTACTTGCACGTTGCCATTCAACAAACGCGAGTGAAAAAGCATTGCTGTTCCATTAGATTTACCACAGCAGAGGTCAGCAGAGTACTGCAATCATGCAGCATAAGCAGCATTTTACAAGTCGAAGGATTTCTTTAGCTTTCCATAAACTGGGATAGCTGTTTCTGAACCAATCTTTAGAAACAAATGGTCTATCATCCCACTTCCACAGCAACTGTTAATCCTGCATCTGACTGTTGCTCTGGAGAACCTACACACCATAGGTCATCACTCCACAGCTCCATCCGTACAAAACAGCCACATTTTTCAACAGATTAAATAAAAATCTGAAGAAACCCAAAGAATCTGGACCATGTGCATCTGCCTATAAATCTACACTGTCAGTGCCAACCCCCACCATAGCCTAATTTAGGCACCAAATGCAGCTCAAGAAATGTACTGTTTCCATTCAGAAAGCCTCTATCCTCCATCACTCCTTAGTACAGTCACTATTACTTTTTTCTTTCATTGCATCCAAGAGAAATTATGCTGTCATTCTCCCACACTAGAGAGGTTACTGTAGAGAGGCTTGCACAAAGAGCGGGGCTCATATCATGATCTTAAAATAGGCCCTGGCTCATTCTGATCTTCCGTGGTAAGTACTGTAGTGCCACAGTGAGCTGCCTTGAAAGCCAAACCCTCCCTATCTCCTGCAAATGTCATCTTAAGCACTCTTGTATCAGCTGTCCACAGAGGGAGAAGCGTTCTCTCTGGCAGTGAGGCCCTTCCTTGATAACGGCTTTAAAGGCTAGATCAGGACCTAGCAGACAAAAGCCAAACAGAGCATGCAGAGCTTTAACCTCCTTGCATCTTTTTCCAATAGAGTGGCTGCATGATGTGCTGGGTAAAGCCTTCAAGTGAATTTGGAAGCAGATAAAGAGCAATAAGCAATAAGTAGATGCAATAATCTAATCTTGAAGTGAAAAGAGCACTCCTTTACATTTTACTACTCCTATTTGTTTTTTAATGTTTGGGGAAGAGACAGACCTGGCAGGAACTAAGAGAGAACAATTTGAATTTGCCACAGAACACCAGCGGTAGTTGGCCAGTCTTAGTCAAGTACTACTTACAGAACCCCAATTAACTAGAGGATGTCACCACATACTGTATCATAAAGGTTTGTAGGGTTATCAGCTTGCCTACAGCTTCCAAGATGAGGACTTTGCAATTCATTTAAAGAACTAGCTCTAACTAGCCACTCACTGGTGCATCTACACATGAAATTAATGTGAAACAACGAGCTCTGACATAGTTTGCACTGGAGCTTATTGCTCCCAGGCACAGCATCTTCATGTGCGCCCAGGACCGCAGCACATTGAGCTGGGATGGAGCAGCCCTGGCTGGCAGGAGTCCAGGGGCTCAGCCTGCCAGCCCACAGCTATTCCCCCTGGCTCAACATGCTGCAGAGGGATTGGCTGGTGCACGAGGGTGCTATAGTGCAGAGCCAGCTGGTAGGCAGCTCTGGCACTGTAGCACCCTCATGCACCAGCCAACCAAGTCACTGAGGTGACATTATTTATGCCGCCACAGGACAGTACTTGTATCCGGCAGTACTATCCTGCAGCAGAGTAAATTAGTTTACTCCACCCTAATAGGGTCGTACATGTAGACTGCAACACTTTACTGTGGAATTAATTAGTTTTCTCCATAGCAAGCATCTTGTGTAGATGCACCCAACTGTCATATACAAAGCATTGTAAAGTCTAATACATGTAGTTATGAAAAAAGCCACCAGTTCAAACAACGAACACAAATGTTTTCCCTTACAGCTACATATACACTTGCTGCTTTTGTCACTTGCTCCTTGTTCTGCGTTCTATAGTCTTGTCCAAATTATATTTTTCTCATGCATCCTTGGATTTGTCTACATCAAGGGAGCAGGCTCTCATTGACTTAAGAGAACATAACTTCATTATATTCAAACTGTCCTTTTTGAAGATCTATTTTTCTCCTCCTTGGAAATTACAATTTATTCCATCCGCAAATTTGGAGAAAATGACATCAGTACATTTCTTTTGCTGTTTTTTTTACTCATTTCCCAGAGATGCTCCAAATACATGGATCTTACTGCAATTTTAAAGCAAAATTCTAATTCAACTGTAAAAAGTTTGAAGACCTGTTAACTCATTTGTATTGGTCTTTTATACCAATTTTTCTATCCTTTTACCTTCTGGAACATTTTCTAAACTTTACATGACCCCACCATATTCACTACTGAAACCACCTTTTCACCACCAGCACAAAAGGAAGAAGTTAAAGACGTGGAGTGGAAATTTCAAATGCACTCAGGGTTCTCCAGGTCCCATTCCCATTAAGTCAATGATATAACATGTAATAATATCAGTAGGAATGGACAGAGGCCAATACTAAGCATTTCCAAAAATCCTTTCTTGAATTAATGGACTCATCAAGGACAAAAGAGAAAGGAAAAGAGACATACCAAACTCATACCTGGTATGTCCCCAGTGATTTTAGTGGAATCATGTCTGGGTAGAACCTGGCCTAGTTTATTCCAATTTTATGGCCTCCCACAGGGAAATCTCCGTGTCAGTTATGAGGCTGACACTATAATGCCTGAGGAACTCTTGTGAGATAAACCTAGAACTATAATTCGCGATTTGCTTTTAACTCCAAACATATAATAATTTACTTTAAAAAACCAGAGATTATTTCACTAAAAGACTGAAGCCAAATAGAGTATCTGGTCTTCAGAAATAAAACAATTCAAAATGAAAAACACTAGGCCTGTAATGTGGAATGAAACATTCATGCTGACTACAACCTTGGTTACCTGCAGTGTTGTGAGCTAATGGAAACTAATATATGTGATACCTTGAATCATCAGCAATATCTGGCCGAGAAAAATAATCTGGAGAAAAATGACCTGGAGAAAAATCAACAACAACCTAGCTTTACAGCTGCCTAGTCCTCTTTGGCCCACACAAAATAACAGTATCCAGTCACACTGATAGAAATCACATTCATCCCTAACCAAGTCACACTACAAACTGCAAGAATATATGCTGTAAATTCATCTTGGGAAAAGGCCCCAATTACTGAACTGACCTATTCCAGCAGTCAGATAACTGGCTGGCAGCACTCATTAATCTGTGCCTTACTGCTGATTTGTTTGGGTCCTTTTTGTTCCAGTGCGGTCTAAGCAGACATTTTATATGACCTGACCAGGATTAAGATACAATGACCAAAACCAAAACTGTTTCACCCAATGCCAGCTGTGACTCTAATTTTCAAATTATTATAACTGAAAACTTGGTTTGATGCAAGTTATGTTTAGAAGGAATTTGTAATTGTAAGTCTTAATGAGATGGGACATAACTCGATTATACACAGACTAGTTCCCCTCTGTTCTTCTGTGTCAGGTTGGAAGGACTGAAAGAACTATGATGCTCTAGGAAACTAAACTAAAAAGATATCTTTTTGCCACCCAATCAAACTTACTCGCTTCTTACCCAGTGTTAGGAGAGAACGAGGAGTCAAAGGTCAACTTCAGTCCATGTGCAAGCTGAACAAAAAACAAATGTACCAGTTGCATTTATAATTGAAAAGGATGCTGCAATAAGAAAGCTGGTATATTATGTTTCTTTAGCCAAAAATTACCTGATCTTCAACCGTTATCTCTGTGCCTAGTGTATTATCAGTGTTCCACTTTTCTGTGAATGTCAAGCCATATTCAATCCATTTGTATTTTGTTTCCAAACTGCCAGTAACTTTGCTTGTCTCTGAGTTTGCTGAACCTGAGCTTGTAAATTCCTAAAGAAAAGGAAAATAAAGATATATAACATATAATGTAGATAAATACAGGAAAATAAAGATATATTGCTATAATGTACTATATATTGCTAAGATATATTGCTATAATTGTATATAATGTACTTTAGGGGCAGCATTCAGTATCACAGCCTCTTTGAAAAGCTTTTTAGATGCTTGCTTGTTATTAATATCAGCACACACATACCCTGCGCAGATTCCAATGCAGCCAAAACAAAGACGACTTCCCATTTAAAGAATGTGCTTATGATAGGGGCATAAATAATTTCATTGCCAATGTAACACAAGATACTGGTTTGATAATTGTTACTTTGCAAGATAAATAATGTGAAATGAACTTGCTTCCATCTCAAGTCTACAAATAAGTCCTTCATCTTGGCATTTCAATCCTTTCCTGTCCTAACCCATCTGCAGTTATATTCATATAGCAACATACGTTCAGGAGAAAAATGCATCAATTTTCCATGAAGGTTTTCTGGGAGATCACAGTTTCAGAAGTTCTGCTGTAGGGACAAAGCGCTCCATGTGTGCACATAGACACCAACTTATTTTTGCCGGGGAGGAGCCTAAGATGATGCCCCCTCTTCTCCCCGCAATGGCATGGCCAGAGCAGAGCCAAGCAGAGCCCATGGGGGGTTCAAGCTGCCCGCTGTGGGCTCAGAGCTCCCTGCCCCACTGCCCTCCTGCACTGGCTGTGCCACCACGGCGAGGCACCCCCTGCCCACCCAGCAGCAGCAAGGAGCACAACTCTGCACTGTCACCCCCACTGCTGTGCGGGCAGGGGGAGCCTCAACATGGTGGCATGGGGCTCCCAGGAGGCAGGGCAGCAGGACAGGAAGCCCCAAGCCCACAGCGCAGTGCAGCCCAAGCCTGCATCCACCCCCACCCTGCACACAAATCTGGGGGGGCAGATGCCTGGCACTTGCAAGTTCACGTAGTGACAGGAAGCTGGGTCCTCCCCACCCCGGATGAGCTGCCCGTGGTTCTGTCCTGCTTCCCGCCCTGGCCCCAGGCCCCATGCACCACCCTGGCTGGGCAGCGTCCCCAGGCCAAGCTCCTGCCCTTCTCCCTCCCTCACCATGGGGGCCTCAATCTGCCCCGCCCCCATAAACTTACCTGCAGGCAACAGGGGGAGCTGCTGTCCACCACCGCCTAGGCCTGTATTCCTGGCCACATGCATGTGTGTGCGTGTACACACATGCATGTGGCACACCTGTACCCCACTCCCCACAGCCCCTTGCAGCTGGAACTCTGCCAGCCTGCAAGGGAAAACCCGCCTTTTCCACGTTTTTCCGCAGTGAACGGAAAACCCGGATCCCTGCACGATACCGGAAATCCAGGACAAATGCTGTCCTGGAGTCATGCAGCCCAGTACCAGGACTTCATGTCCCCATTTTGAGACTGTCCTGGTCGTACCCAATTAGGGCCAGTGTCCTCAGGCCCCCACATACTTGGCACCTAAGGTGGCTGACAGTGCTTCCAAGACCGAATATACATGCCACCAGAGAGCAGAGATTTGATCCTACACACTTTCTCAAAGTTAAACTAAAGCAAATGCAGAGAAAAGCAAGGGTCGATCTAGGAGCCCTTGCAAGTCCAAGTTCATGACTTCTTCTGCTCAACCCATTCAGTAAGCTATGAGGGAGGGATTATTCCCTCCTCCTAGTCCTCATTCCTCTAAAAAGCAGGGAAGAGACAGTGTCAAAAAAGCTACTGCACAGATTGCAGGACTATGGAAGATATGAGTTGAGGGAGAGGGGATAGGGCTCTTCCTATCTCAAAAAAAGGACATTTACACAAAATGGAATTCCTTGGGGGGGGTGGCAAAATTTCAAATTTCATCAAAAAATGTCATTGAAATTGCAACTAATTCTGTGAAGCTAGAAGATTCTGGGATATGAGAACAGAGAAGGGAATGAAATCCATGAGATGCTAAAAAGACAAATATTATTCTGGATCTTAAACTTTTCTGAAGCCCATCACACACACACTGCAGAATACACCTCACAGTAGAGCTTCTGCAGAAATCTCTCACAGAAAGTGGTATAGATCAATTTTTTTCAACTGGTGGGTCACAACCCAGAAGTGGGTCGCGAAAATATATGAAAGAGTTGCAAACAAATTTTACAAGTGGATTCTCCTTTAAAAGAGAAAAACATGGGAAACGGTGGCTTTTTCCTTGCAGGCTGGCGGAGTTCCAGCCTGCAAGGGGCTGCTTGGGGGCCCCCCGTCCCACACACTGCGGGGGTAGAGGGTTGAGAGTGATGGGCACTGGGTTGGGACTGGCCATCCATGTTTACAAATGGGTCCTGGTACAAAAAGGTTGAGAACCACCGGTACAGATCGATGTTCTCTAGCAGGAAATTATTCCAACCTACAAATCTGCACCAAAACAGCACCCAGTAAAAGGGTGATAAAGCACCTAAAAATAACATAAAGTGGAAATGATGAGCCTGAAATATTAGCAAGGGAAATATTAGTAGGGCGAAAAAGCAAGTAATGCTGTAATTTTACCTCCCTCTTAAAATGCAAAGTTCAGCTAGTATTTCATATAAAAGATGTAATGTGCACACTGCAAACAAGTAAATCTACTGTACCATACACACATCCTCATTACAGAAAGATAACTTTGCAAAATATAGTATAGCTACATCATAATATAATCCAGGGTGTGAAAGGTATAGGATGCATATTTTCACTTTTAGAAAAGAGGCCATAATAAACATGGATATTAAGCATAACAACCACATGGTTTGATAGTTATTAATGTTTTTGCTTTATGAACTCACCAGTCCATTTTCAGATTTTGTTTTCAAATCAAGTTTTATTAAGCCAAAACCTGAAAGATAATAAAAACAGGAATTTGTAATACTAATTTGAAAGAGCACCATACAGAAAGCAGCACTTCTGGTTTATATTTTATAGCTCCCTGCTTGTCTCCCATACACTACCCAAGGAAAAAAAGTGTATGCCACTTAAATACAGCAGCTTCTCTTATTTGCTTTCTACAAGAGACATTATTTCACTTAGATTCATATTGGGTAGTACCTTACTATAGTAGTTGCATTGACTTGAGTTGTGCCACTAGGACACGGTTTGATTGGAATATTTTACTCATACTCCATTACTCTATAGTACCCCATTCGATAAATAACACTATTGAGTTCAGTAATACTATCTGTGATATAAAGTACCGTACTGTTCAACAGAACATACTGGACATCGGTGTCTTGCAACCTGGTGCACTGCCAATCTCCAATCACAAGAGAACAATAAGATCCCCATCTGCCTTCACAAGCCTGCAGGAAGAGCAATCTAAATCTCAGGTTGTAATCTCAAATTCCTCCAGTATCATAATGAGGAACACCAGGTAAAACTCAACCATGCAGCACCACCCAAACCTACATAACTTTATCTGCAGAAAAAAAATGTTTCCTCATCACAGAAAGCACTCACAGGAGCCATCACACAATGGCAAACCGGATTAATCTGGCTGTCAACAGCTAAAAGCAAATATGCTGATCAAGACTGAGTAGAAATTTTAGGTGAAAACAGTCAGCTGCATGTCTCTGGTTTCAGCTAGTTCCTAGGCTCTGCAACACGTCCGCAGGTCTGTCAGCTCCTGGGACCGCTGGTTTTCCATTAGAAATCAGCAGAAAACAGAGCAGGAGAAACTAAGTAGTGTTTTCAAATGGCACCTACTGGAATTTCCACTAGCGCCAGAAAGTAGTTGGATCCTAGCTGGACAGTTTCAGGAGCCAGGCATTTAATAAAGGACTGTGAATCCCTTTTGTCATTATTTACCGTATCCCTTGGTGAAAACATCTCTGGCAGATTTTCCTAGATCAACGTAAGTAGGTGGAACAGCCATTTTCTGCAAAAAACAAAAACAGAAATTAGAAAGTTCAGACCTGTTTTTCTTGCAGATAATTAAAGCAAAACTCCTACAACATTAATGTCCTTTTCTACCCATCAGGTAAGACCTGGCTAAAGTATCTACAGCAGTACTGGTATTTTTTGTATTGGCCAAAAAGGTGCCAATGGCTCAATTTGCCATGTTGTCTGTAGCAGCTTACAAAGCAAATGCATATAAATAAATACAGAAAGCAAACAAGAAGAAACGTCCTGTGCCTCAGAAATCAATCAAAGGAGAACTACTTCCTTTTTCTCGTTAACATTTCTCCTGGTGCCCATTTCTTGAAATTAATCTAAATGAATATGTAGTAGTAATCAGTCTAGACCATGAGCAAGCCAGAAGATGTCTTAACTTCTTGCGCTTAGGAGAAGCTGCCTCTAAATTCCTCTAGCTCTCAGGGCCTGATTCCAGGCACAGGCTAAATGAGCTGCGGTCGTCTGACCCCACAGTTCAATAATTTATACCAGCAAAATCTATTCCAAGTTATTCTTTACCTTTAACTCTCTTTTACCAAGATATTGTTATTTGGGCATATATTATAAAGTTCCCTTCTGTTGATCAGTGGGGAGAAACACAGAATTCACGGTACAAAAAGGTGCCAATACAGAATGCATCCAATCAGGCAGCCATCGGTTTTCCCTGTCCGTGCCAATCAGATACAAAATTAGAGCACTGTGCAAAATCAAGGTACGGGATGAGGAGCCTAAAATAGGAAACTTGTGTTTCAGGCTTGTTCACTGTTGATGCCCCAAAACCCATAGGATTTGACCCAAATTTCCATACAGCTCCCCTAGAAGGATACATCCTATCTGCCTGTCTTCCACACCTAGAGAGCTGTCTCATTGCACAGAAGAGGATAAAGTCCTCTGTTAGAAGCAAACTATCCCCCTCTTGCCAAGGTTTGTATAAAGTAGTGAGCTTCAAGTTTTCCTTTTGATTTCTTGAAGGGGTCACTCAAGGTCAGCAGATATTTTTCATCATATCTTCTTCTCTTGCTCCCTAATCATCACAAAGCCAGTGGTTTCTCCCTCCCTATTTGTCCCAGATGCCGCAGAGCAATTTCATGTTCACCGGGTCCTAGAAGGGTTTTTTGTAATCAAAGACATAATTCCACTTAAAGAGAGTTCAAATATATAGGGGGCATTTTCTACCAGGGTAACCGGTTCTTAAATATCACAAAGCTGTGAAATGCCAGTTGAACGCTACAAAACTATTCCTCAGCGCAGCGCAAAAAAACACCAGAAACAAGAAAGAAACCCGCTCCAAAGATAAATGCAGCAGGGTGCTGCTTTTCCGTCTGTTTTGCTTCAGACTCACATGCAATTTGTTGGTTTTTTTAGCATTGCAACCCCATTAATATCTGATAGGCACTTTTAACAGCCACTTAATGCTTCAGCCATTCACTTCAACAGGTTGTTGCCTGTGATAGCAGAATCTTGCTCTTACATAAGAGAGTACAAAAAAGCAGGCCTGGTGGCTAATTCTAACTGAACTGTCTTCTCAGAATACGTGTTAAATAACATAGAAGGAAATGTAGCATATATGATCTAGACCGGTAGTTTTCAACCTGTAGTCTGCAGATCTCTGGGGTGCACAGACTATGTTTAAGGGTCCGCGAAAGATTACTATGATGAATCAAAAGTATGTTAATACCCACACTTACAATTCAAAGGGGTCCGCACCTCCATTCAAAATTTCCAAAGGGATCTGCGCCTCGTTCCAAATTTCCAAAGGGGTCCACAAATGCAAAAAAGGTTGAAAATCGCTGATCTAGACTCAGCCACCCAGGCTACATGATATCATTATTCATCAAAGACACTGGCAATTTCTGTATAGTAAAAGTTAACTAGTAGGATGTGTCATAAATCATCTGAGGAGGAATGACCTGACTTCAAGCAGCTAATGCTTAAACAGGAGGAATACTTCAGACCTCAAGTTCCAGTGGAGTTGCAACTGCTTACCATTTGCCTGAATTTCACTCCTCCTTTTTTGTGCTAGCAACCCAGAGTTAAATTTTATAAGCATCACTGCCTACAGTGGAAAATACTTTTAGCAGTTAGTCAGATATGATTCTAGAAAAATCCAAAACTAATTTTGCAAGTCCATTCATAGCATCTGATGGAGTAGGTTGTAGCCTACAACAGCTCATGCCTCTCAATGAGTTATTTTATAACTCATTGCCCTGCCTTCTGCCCAACAAAATCAGTTAATGCTTCTGCCTTTTTAAGGAAGTGGCTGTTCTGCTCCTGATTAAGGCCACGTGCCATCACATTTAAAACAATTTTACAGTGTTGCCCTCAGTGCACAGATCGCTCCACAGAAAGAGTCAAGGCCGCACATGAGAGTAGGCCCAAAATCCTGGGCATTTTGCAATGTTTCAAGGCCAAGGCCACCTGCAGTTTAAACCAGCTTTTCTAAACCTGTGGGCCACAACCCAAAAGTGGGTGGCAAGAATATACGAAAGGGTCGCGAACAAACTTTAAAAATGGATTCTCCTTTAAAGGAGGAAAATATGGGAAACCATGGCTTTTCCTCTGCAGGCTGGCAGTTCCAGCCTACAAGGGGCTGCTTGGGGCCCCCGTGCTCCACACACACCTCCCCTGCCCCACAGCCCCAGCCCCTGCCCCACACACTGGGGACCCCGGGGGCAAGCAGCAATGGGTCAGGAGTGAGGGCCACTGGGTTGGGACTGGCTATTGGTGTTTACAAATGGGTCCTGGTTCAAAAAAGTTGAGAGCCACTGGTTTAGACAATGCCTCTTTCCAATCAAAGCAGTGAAATCTCACTGGAATGCAGTGCGATACATGAGTGGAGGCCAAGCTTTCTGGCAGGTGTGCCACTAGGGTGGCCATCATAGAAGACAGTCCAGTTGTCCTCTGTCCTCTATTGATACAAAACCGGACACCTTTACGTCCTCTATTTTTCTCTTGAGGAGAGAAATAAAGGACATAAAGGCATCCAGTTTCTTATCAATAGAGGACAGAGTAGTAGAAAACCAGTGTCCTCTATGGTGGCCACTCTCTATATGCCACAAGTTAGCCCCACATCCTCCCTCAATGCCACTCTGATCCTCTTCCCTACCCCAATCAACTGTCCTGCTTTCTGCTTCCTGCCCTGTGCTCCCTGTCTGATCTGTTGCTCCATTTTCTGCTTCTTGCCCTATCTGCCACTGTACTTAGTGTCCCCTTCCCAATCTGCCACACAGAGGCTGCCCATGCCACTGGTGGTATGCATGCTAGATGTTAGCAACCCCTGAAATACGTTATTAAAAGACCAGACGGTATCGTCAAAAAATCCTCACATCTAACACGCAGGTAAGTTTGCTGTGGAAGAGAACTCACTGTGCTACCACGCAACAGAATCCCGTATGTTCTCCATATAAGCATTTTGGATGCATTTCTAAAACATCGTTATAATCACTTTGATTCAGAGTTGTCTGTCCTGACCTGTCTTGATGAGGATTGTGTTCTGCATTTCTTGTTTTTATCCATAGTATACCTGTATCAAACCTGATAGGGCTAAATTATGCTTTCACTAAACAGCTGTGCAACTTCACTGCAGACAGTTGGGCTACTCTGGTTGTAAGCAAGTAATCCACAAAAGCCAATGCATCTGCTTGGTTTTATCCAAGTGCAACGGAGTACAGAGTCAGCTTCCCAGTGTTCAGTGCTAAGATATTATCACTGGCACGCTATCAGCAGAGAGAATCAGCCATGCTTGTATGATGAATCAGTTGTGACATACTGTTATAATGCAGCAGACTGGGCCATGGTTATAGGACAGTGGGAGAGGATCATATCTTCTGTTATGCAATTACTAAAATTAAGGAACAACATTAAAAGCTAAAGTCTTGTCCACTGCACATCTATAACGTAAGGCAATCTAATGTGTAGGAAAAGGTATCTGGAATTGACAAACATGAAAACATGCTATAACACATGTATGTCACGATTAATCTTACTGTGACTGAAAAAGAAAATATAACTACTTCTGTTCACATCAGTCACTGATCAGAGGTTCCCTGTTTTAGCAAATAAAAGTAAAATCAGTCCTAGGATATAAGCCAGCAGGTGGTAAAAACCAACCTTCTTCACCAGGAATAAAACTTGCAAACAACCAGGACCTAAGGCTGTAACAAGCACAAACTCTTGTCTTTCACCTCTCGAATCCCCGGATGTGGACTCAGATCAGGTCACAAGTAAAACAAAGCATTCTGGTTTTATTCCAGACTTCTGTGTGGATATCTCAAAGCTACAATATGACTCAATCCCTGCTCCAGGGAGAAGGAAGCAGTGTGACTCAGGACTGAGGTATTGGCAGGGCTATTTGGGAAACTCTGAGTTATTTGACTCAGACTGGTGCTGTTAGGACCACTCCTTCATAAGCACTACACTCAACTAGGGAAAAAATGTGGAGCTTGCTTTGGAGTTTGTGGGAGCTTCTAATTTCTGCAGATGACACAGGTGATATTCAGCCCTGGTTAAAGATTCCACAGAAATCAAAGATCTTCCAGAAGGGCTGAATTTAGCCCTAAAAGTTTTCAAATATTATGAGGCAAGTTTTCAGTTCACAGCAGGGAATCTTGCCTGTGACAGGTGTCATACTTTAAAAATGTATTTTAAATCAGACTTTTTGCTCCTGTCCCATGACTGGGATGAACTGATACAATTCTCTTAAATTTCCTGGTACACACTATCAACTTTTCTTTTAGTTTTACTACTAATGTACATGTTAGATGTAATATGTTTATGACGGAAAACACAATAAAGACCCAGGGATAATTCCCAGTAGAGTCAATGACAGACAGTTTGATTAAGGTCTGACAAAATAAGTCTGCATTTACCCCTCAGTTCAAGCCAATCTGCCCATATAAATATGACTTTATAAACAAATCTCTGTAAAGACTAGTCCTAACTGAATTTTTAAGCACTTTAATTTCACTGTTTCCACATAAGAATTCTTTTTAAAGCATTTTAAATGCAGTCTTT